TGAAAATTTATGTAGGCATAAAATAAGTTCCTATAATTGGGTTAGTCATTTCTTTCCCAAATGATTAAACCACAATATGCAATACAAAACAAAACAAAACAAAAGCCATGGAATGTTAGAGCTGAAAGTGAGCTTACAGATCTCCTGCCCAGCCCCTACCTTTATAAAGCTGCAGACCTGGGGCCCCAATAAAATGACTTACGAAGGTCACAGATCCCATTAGTAACAGAACCATACCCAGGTATCTAATCGTCATGTCTAGAGATTGTTCCCCTTTATACTATCATTCTGTCTCTGCTCATATGGAAACAGTGCCCAGTAGTGCTTCCCCAGAGAAATCTCTATCTGGAGACTATTGCCTTTCATTTCCCTAGCACATAAGCATCCAAGACTCATAGACTAATAGAGTTAGATCATCTAGCTCAGGAGTTGCAACCTGATTAAATATAGGCTCTGAATGTATTTTATTTAGTTGGCACATTAAAAAAAAAAAAAAAAGTAAAGGCCATTTGAATGGGGTGAGGCTGCTGTATTTTGCCCCAATCATTCCAGCCCTATTAACCCACTTCCAACAGCTTTATACTTTTCTGTTTTCTCCTTGGCCTCTGACAGCACTTGAGCCTGTGATCCCCGAATCCGGATCAGGCACAATTAACAGCACAGCAAAGGAAACCTAATTGATGGAAATGTGAAATATGGCATTATATTCTACCATTAGCTATTTTCATTGCCTTACCAATAAAAATCCATTTAGGTTTTTTTAGGTTGACTAGTTATATCAGAGGTCTGCCAACTACTACCAGACAGACAAACCCAACCCGCTGCCTATTTTTGCATGCCTCCCTCCCCTAGCTGAGGTGGGAATGGTTTTTATGTTTTTAAACAGTTGAAAAATTCAAAAGCAGAAGAATATTTTATGACATATGAAAAAATTTTTAAAGATTTTATTTATTTATTTGACAGAGAGAGACACAGCGAGAGAGGGAACACAAGCAGGGGGAGTGGGAGAGGGAGAAGCGGGCTTCCCGCGGAGCAGGGAGCCCGATTCGGGGCTCGATCCCAGGACCCTGGGATCATGACCTGAGCCGAAGGCAGTTGCCACCATGCCTCTCTCCTAACGAAAAACATTTTTAATATTCCCTCTATCTATAAAGAAAAATCTGAAGTATTTAACAGGTCCCTGCACAATTAAGGCCTCAACCTTCCAGTCCAACCTCATCTCCCAAAACGTCCTTCCTGCAACCTATCCACTGCAGATGACTTCAATTATCTGCTGTCCCTTTATATCTTCTAAGTCATTCCTACTACATGAAATGCCTCGTCCCGAATACAGTGCAACACAGTAAAGTATAAGCAGGGCCTTTAGAGTCAGGTCTGGGTTCTAATTCAGACTCTCGCCCTTATTTGTTGAGGAAGTTACTTAGCACCTCTGAACTTCAGTTTTCTCATCTATACAATGGGAATAATAATCCTTATCTCATAAGACTATTACAATATTTTAATGCCTGGCACTGGGAACAGTTAAACAAGCAGTAAGTATGAATTCTGTCAAATTCCAATGCCATTTCCTCCTTTCCTTTTCCTTGCCCTCCCACCAAGAAATGAGCTCTCCTGCTGGTGTCCTGTGCCCTGATATCCACCTGTTTCATTCTTATGGCTCTGATCCATATCTACTGCCTTACAGGATAGTGATCTCTACCCATGTCTTTTCTCTCCTACTAGTCTAGGAACTCTCTGAGGGCAGGATCCATGTATGACTAAGCCTGCCACATCTGTGACAGCCCTGAACACAGTGGCTTGAATATAGTATGTGCACAAGTATTTACTGAATGAATGGTATGTGTTCACTGAACTATATATATCATTTATTAGGTGTATCATGTTGCCTTGTGATATAAGCAGGAGCCACGTCACTTGTTCTGAGTAATTCCTAGCCTGAGTGCTTAGAAAATATTCAAACACCACCAGGGACCAAAACTGCCAACATAAAAACAAAGGACAAACAGAAAAGCGGGCAATATGTTCACCTTTCAGAGTCATGGTGTTTTTATTTTCCACTAGTTTAAGTTATAATCATCATCTTGTACCCCAACAATTATAAATAAATCACATTTAAAGGAGGAAAATCAACCACTTCCCCAAGGGAGACATGTTGAGTATTGTTCATAACATCAATTACCTCTGAGTACAGATGTAAGTAAATCTAAGTATTCAAAAGGGACCTATGTTTAATGACTAAATCATGACACGAAGTTGTGACTTAAACCTTATCTGGAGCTCTGTACAAAATCAGACACAAGTAGGATAAATGTAGAAATCCAGTTCCACCTAGGCTAGCAACTTTAACAAAAACTGCAGCTAGTTTTTGCAGCACAATGCACCAAGTTTCATTGGTTCCTAGAAACACTAGCCATTTGATTTGCTAGTCAATTTAGTGAGTTAAATGGAAAAGTGTCAATCATTCTTTCTGACGTTAATGCCAGGCTCCAAATGCCAAAATGAATCCCCACACGTGAATACAAAATTAATCGCTGAGACATGCCAATGTAGGGAGTGACATTTTCCAATAAGATGACAGCAAAAAATATGTTTCCAACTACTTCTGCTTATTCATTTCCCTTCAGAAACCTACTGAAAAATACACACTCACCAGCAGCTACATTATTAGCCTAAAGACATATTATCAACAACTTTCTATGTTTAGCTGTTTCCATTCAAAACGCACTTTCATAATCCATTAACTCCTTTGAGTCTCACAACAACCCTGTGAGATGGGTATAATCACCCCTATTTAACAGATGAAGTCAGCAATCTGTGCCATCTTATTCCAAGATGGCGAAGCCACGTCTTCTAACTCCAGTTCCAGGGTTCTCTTTTCCTGTTTCCTCCACACAAAGCAAAAGCATACCTTTGTTTTGCTTCCCCACTTATTCTCAAAAAGCTAGCACAGTGTGAGGAAGTAGAGTGGGAGTATAAACATTACTGTGGTCAAGACAGTGGGAAACATCCCGCCTTTGCCTCTATCTAATCATGTTTTTAGAATCATGCAACTTAAAGGAAAAGAAATGGAGTGTGGGTTAGCTGCTGGGTTTTATTTCCTCCCTGCCCTATTTTGGCTTTCTATGTATATTCGGAAACAGAAAACCACCCTGAATATCAAGAAACACCATGGGCCAAACTATTTCTTGGATCTTCCACCCATCTGCAAAGGTTTAGGCCTGCATAACTGTTGACTCTTACCAGTCTCAGTCTCAGAGAAGAAGGAAAGAGTGTAAGAACCACTACTTGCCCCTAGCATACAAAAATCTGCCCTTCCTCAAACGTTAATGTTAATCTTAATCTCTCTGTAGCTGGTCACTTTTTAGCGCAAACAATTTCAGCTCACCATACACTTCACAAAACCATTCCCTTCCTGGGGCTTATGATGAGCTACATTTGACTGTAGATACTACACCAAGCAGTTTATCATGAGTAAAAATTTTTAAAAATCCGAACATTCTCCCCTTTTCCTTTCAATGAACCCTCAATCTCTCTAACTACTTTTGTGGCATAACTTGCATATCTTTAACCCCTCAGTGAGTTCTATTAAGTGGCAACACACCCCAAAGCCTAGCCTATACGTCTCTAAGGATCAGCATTTCAAATACCCCATCTTGAAGGTGCTGCCAAGAGTGTGCTCTTGTTTCGACCACAATACGACAAAAAAATTAAATAATCAAACTCAATCAAATGACCAGCAGGAACTTGGGCAATTGATATACTCTCACCAAAGTGGGCAGACAACACTGGCAGTGAAAGCACAGATTCCCAGGAGCAAAAGAGCTGCACACAAATACCAGCTGGTAGCTGTTACCACTGCACTCCCAAGCCTTTCTCCCTGCTCTTCATCGGCTCCATCTGCCTTGAGAAGGTCCCCGACACTGGACTCTGGACACAGTTTTTCGGGGATAAGCCCATTCAGAGCAAAGTTATAAGCAGACAGGACATATTTACCAGTGACTCTGACCAGTGACTTTATTTTTTGCAACGACTTTTCAGCCAAGAAGAGAAAAACCTATCACTCCACCCAATCGCTATCCTCCATTCTTCTGGGTATATGTACTTTGGCACAATGGGCTGGCTTGCCTGCACTCTTGTTGGGAATATTTATTATTCTTTCTCTTACTCCAAGCCTTCTGCCAACTAGCAGAAATAAAAACTCCACACAGTGGGGAAGGGGGGTAGGGTCCCACAGCTGTCAGCTGTGACCACTGGGAAAGCCAAGCTAGATGAGGTTCCTTCGGACCAGTGGCCCTTAACCCTGGCCCTGAAGTATGCTCCCTGGGGGCTGGGCTCCTTATGCCAGGTACCAGGCAGGTCTCAGTTTCACCCCCAAGCAGAATTCAGGGGCACGTGAAGCCATCCAATAATTCTGGGCTTAGACTGACTCTGACCAAAACCACAGCTCAGGACCTTAAAGGAAAAAAGTCACTGGGGCAAAGGTGCTTTCCTGAGAAAACAGGTTGATACAGGTAATTTTTTTTTTTTTTTAACTGCCCCCACCCTCATCCGTTAGCAACCAGAAGCCAGGACAAAACCATTACTCCAGCTGCCGGCTTCAAACCTCTCTTCTTTAGGAGGTGCTAGGGCATAGGGCAGTTCCTTGGTCAGCTTGAATGTCTCCTTACCCAAGACATGAGTACTAAACATGAGTAACAGTACAGGCAAATTATCCCTTCCGAACACCAATCTGCCAAGTAAGGATAGTCGGAGAGCCAAAGAGGGTCCTTGGCACAGGTACAGATCAAGTCTTACAAAGTCAAGGCCACCAAAGTTCTAGTTACAACCACCACCTTCCACTTCAACTGACCCCGCTTCCGAAGTGTTCAGAAACCCACTCGCCCCAGAGAACTGGATTGGGAAGCACCGTGAATCCTCCCTTCCCCTGCGGTGTGGAAGAGCTTAAAGGCCAGAGCCACTAGCTCAGGGAAACAGCTCATCCATCGAAACCTTCCACTTACTTCTCATTGCGCTGATAAGCGCGTTGCCATCCTTGATGACGTCCTTAATGAATTTATTGGTTCTCTCCAGCTCCTGCTCGTAACACTTGAGCCTCTCGCGGAAATCGGGGCTGTCCAGGTAGCAGTCGCTGAACTCCAGCGGGGGATGCCCCATGGTTCTGATGGCGAGGGCTGAACGGAGAGAGGAAAGACACAAAGACCAAGAGCATCAGCGGCACAGTAGGGGGGAGCAGATGGGAGGAACTGAGCGCGGGACCCGCCTGGGAAACTCGTAGCCTCCCTCCCTTTGGAGGACAGGTACCTGTTCCGTGGAGATTCCTGGGTAAAGCTGGCTGGTCTGTGCCAGAAGCGGGCGGCCGGCAATTGCTTCAGATGACACAGAAAGCTAACTAATGCAGTCCGACCCCGGAGGGGTTCTGCCTAGCAAGCAGCATGCCCCCAAGGCATTGCCTCCCCCGACAGGCAGCCCAGCCTGCCTCCGGAGACCAGCGGGAGTCCTTCCTGAGCAACTGCAAACGTGACACTTCGGCCCGCCCAGGGTGGAGGCTGGGGTGGGCGCTGGGACGTTCCCGAGCTAGCTGAAGATTTCCTTTGCCGAACTCCGCGGGCAACCCTGATTGCACTATCCCCTCCCCCTTCTGAAAGCCAGAGCTGCCGCCCCGCCCCAGCGAACCTTTGTGCCGAGCCCCAGCCCTCGGGCTCCTTCTTCGGCTGTCTTCCTCGCACCCTGGGATTGCGTGACCAGAGTGTTCTCGCTCCCAAGAGTTCTTCCTGGTCCAAGGGAGCCGGCCTGCTGTCCTGTTAGGCGTCGGAGGGGTTAAGCCCCAGCGGCAATTGAGACGTAGCCTTCCTCCCGAGACACCCGAGAGGGAAGAGGAGGGCGATATCGCTACGCACAATAGCTGCGGTAGCCTGGCGCTTGCCTACGGAAACTGGGGAGCAGTCGGCGCCCTAGGACTCCAGCTGGAAAGCGTGGCGGCCTGGGAGATGTAGTCTTTCCGTTTCTCGCCCCATGACTCCTCCCTGCGATCTCCCCACCACCCCGCCAGGGCGGAGGCTCTCCTAGCAAGACTTTCCCAGCCTGCCCCAGGCTCGCTCCCCAGGCCCAGCCTCGAGGGGCAGGTGCGCCACACTGGAGCCTAAGAGGAAAAGTTTCCGAAACGAGCGAGAGAACCCGGGAGGCGTCGGTTGTGGGAGGCCATCTCTCACTTCCCATTACTTGGCTGTCTTTTTTTTCCTTTCTTTTTTTTTTTTTTTTCTTCCTTACTCTCTTTCCAGCTTCCCTCTGAGGGAGCAACTTCCTTTTCCCTTCCCTTGCCCATTTGTCCTGATCCCAGTGTTTGAATTCCCATGGGCCCTCGACCTGGACAACCTCAAGGGTTGACTCCTACTCTAGGATCTCAATGTTAGGCTCAGAACCCCCCGCCAAAGGAAGGGAGGCCATAATTAGGAGTTCACTTTATTCTGAATAGGACCTCAGAGCATGGTTTTTGTGATTCAACTCATTGCATAGGTTGTTCATTAAAGCACATGATTTTCCATGTGTAAGTGGAAAACCTAAGAAGAAGATGTTATAAATTGTCTTGCAGCTTGGCTAAGAGACCTTTTGTTTGTTGTCCAAGGTAGGAGAACTCTTACAGGTGGATGCCTTGAGATTAAGAGCAGCTTAGCGGTGGAAAATTGTGTGTACGTGGGCAGAAGGATCCATTTTTATTGTGGAGAAGTGTTTAGATTACATGGCCCTGTGAAGAAAGCCAAGAAAAGCCAGAATTGAAGGGGGTTGTAAATAGGGTAATAATGGCTAACCCACCTGCATGGGTGTCCTATTTCTGCTGTAAAAAATTACCACAAACTTGGTGACTTAAAACAACATGAATTTATTATCTTAGAGTTCTGGAAGTCAGAAATCAGAAATGGACCTCACTGGGTCAAAACCAAGATGTCAGAGGGCTGTGTTCTTTTCTGGAGGCTCCAGGGGAGAATCCACTTCCTTGCCTTTTCCAGCTTCTAAAAGCTATCCACATCCCTTGCCTCATAGCCCTCTTCCTTCATCTTCAAAGCCAGTAATGCCTGATCAAGTCTTTCTCCCACTGCATTGCTCTGACGCTGACTCTCCTGCCCACTTTCACTCATAAGAACCCACCAACTAACTCAGGATAATCTCCCCGTCTCAAGATCCTTAACTTAATCACAGCTGCGATTATTTTGTTTGTCACATAAAGTAATATATTCACAGGTTCCAGGGATTAGGACATGGACATATTTGGGGGCAACATTCTTCCACCCTCCACACAACCTCTAATTCTATAAACACATTTCACTAACCCTCAAAACAATCCTATGAGGTTAGTATTCTTATTATACCCATGTAAAGATACCTGAGTTGAAGAGAAGTTAAATGACTTGCCCAAAGACACACAGCTACTTAAGTGGCTGTGTTTGAACTTGAGCCTAACCTGGCTGGTTCTACAGGCACTGCTCTTAACCACTACACTATACTGCAGTTTGGTAAAGAATCCAGCGAAGAAACGCCTTCAGAAAATTAATAAGTAGCCACGTCCCAGGGAAGGATTTTATTGCCTACTCCTTTTATCTTTATGAGAAAATGTCCAAATTGGGCTTTTAAAACACTGATGCAGGTACTAGAGAAGGTGCCCAATAAATGGGTATATGCTCTTTCATTCTAGCAAGGTTCCTTATAGCATTCATTCACTAATTTGACAAGCATTTATTGCATATCCGCTATATGCCTTGACTTATAGTCTATACCTGTTTTCATCACTACGAATACTACCACTGACATTATTGATGTTAGGTACACTCTTACTTGTCTAACTTCCTATACCCAAAGTGTTTTTACAATCATCTGTTTTATCCTTTATCTAGACAATGAGGCTAAAGTGCAGAGGAAAACAAATGCCCTGGATCAAATACTAAAGAAGAAAGAGGATTAAAATGAGAACTCAGTCCTCAAATAATAGCTGTGTTAATTGAGCATTATCCTAGATGCTTTGCACACATTATACCTCACCCTCACAACAACCCTATAGGATTGGGATCTTCAAACTTTTATTCACATAACCCCTAGAAGAATTTTGAGAAGCTATGTACTCCCTCACATATTTTTAGGTTGACATCTAAATTTTTCATCATGTTTAAATAGTTGCAAAAGGTAAAATATCCAGTATACTATACATATTGACAACTTAAAATAAAACTTTTATATTATGCTTTTAAAGATTTTCATTGGATTCTAAATACCAGAGCAATTTGATGCCCACTATCAAACATTAAACACAAAAGTGTAAACTTTCCTTTAACCTTCAGAAAATTTGCATCATTCCTTTCTTCTCCTTGAAATCAAGTATCCATTGCATTCTCCCCACAGAATTGTATTCCATCATAATATATTTTTATACTTGAAAGTCTTCTGTTGATCACCATATTGAATTTCTCTGCAACAAAGATTTGTCCATAAATAGAAATTGAATTATTTTTATTTCTTTGTGATCATAGCCTCCAAGTATAAAAAATCTTCTGGATTCAGTTACAATTGCAATTGTGATGCAAACACAATAGATAAAAACAGCATGAAACTCTTATATATTGTGATTATTATTTTTTTCAGATCTCATAAACTTTATTTGTAACAACATGCCTCAAATAGCCATTACACAATCAGGGTAACCTGAGATCCAACATCAAGGTCATAAACCATCCTATCAATATGAACCATGTAATAGGATTGTGCTGCTATCCCTAGGATATCTTGAGTCAATTAATGATATTGTTTGACTGGGAAAGCCTAAGTGTCATTCAGAGGTTTTTCTCTTTTTAAGTTTTTATGTAATTTCCAGTTAGTTAGCATACAGTATAATATTAGTTTCAGGTATACAATATGGTGATTCAAAATGTCCATACAACACCCAGGGCTCATCACAAGTGTACTCCTTAATCCCTATCACCTATTTAATCCATCCCCCCACCCACCTCCCCTCTGATAACCATCAGTTTGTTCTCTGTAATTAAGAGTCCATTTCTTGGTTTGCCTCTCTCTTTTTTTTTCCTTTTGCTTGGTTGTTTTGTTTCTTAAATTCCACATATGAGTGAAAGCCTATGGTATTTATCATTATTAAACTTAAAACATAAACTTTATTGGAAATGCAGCTCTTAGTGAGATGGATGGGGAAGGGGTAGCACAGGGCCTTGACTTAAAGAAAATTCCTGGACATCAGTTTTTGAAATTGTTGCCTTGCTTAGCACCAAGGGTTTTTACACCCTGAGTCAATGTACCTTAGTAAGATTTTTGACCTTTGAAAGGTATGCTTTCGTTTTTAGAGACTTGGAAAGGGAAGTAGGAAAGGCAAAGAGAAGGTGAGAGAAGGCAAATAAGTTTTTTTAGGAAGTAGTACTAAAGAAAGTTGAGGATTTGGAAATTGGTCCCCTTTCAGCTTTATTCATAATTACCAAAACCTGGAAGGAGCTAAGATGTCTTTCTGTAGGCAAATGTATAAATATGCTATGGTACATCCGTACAATGGAATATCATTCAGTGCTAATAAGATAGGAGCTATCAAGACAAGAAAAGACATGGAGGAAACTTAAATGCCTATTAGTGAAATAAACCAATCTGAAAAGGGTACCTACTGTATGATGCCAACATTATGACATTCTGGAAAAGGCAAAACTTTGAAGACAGTAAAAAGACAGGTTGTGCTAGAGGATATGGAAAGGAAGGAGAGAAATGAATAGGTGGAGTAAAACAGGATTTTTAGGGCAGTGAAAATACTACGTATGATGCTACAATGGTGGATACGTATCATTATACATTTGTACAGCACCAAGAGTGAACCCTAATGTAAACTGTGGACTTTGGGTAACTATGATGTGTCAATGTAGGGTCATTAACTGTAACAAATGTGCCACTCTGGTGGGAGATGTTGATAACAAGGGAAGCTGTGCATGTGGGGGGGTGGAGGGTATATGGGAAATCTCTGTACCTCCCTCTCAATTTTGCTGTGACCTTAATATTGATCTAAAAATAAAGTTTTTAAAAAATGTTGGGGGAAACGAATCCCATTTCCCCTATTTCCTGTATGTAAAGGTAACACCACCTCTACAGTCTTAATGCAGGACAGTATCTCTTTCCTAAGCAGTCACTCTATTTTAGCTGTGATGCTGTGGAAAGAACACAGAGCTGGAACAATATTGGTCATACAGAACTGAAATATGGTCTAGCTCCACCCCTTAGAATCTCAGTGACCTGAGTAAGTCATGTAAACTCTCTTTGGAATAATATCTTCTTCAAAAGTTTTTTTTAAATTTTATTTATTTATTTGACAGAGAAAGACACAGCGCGAGAGGGAACACAAGCAGGGGGAGTGGGAGAGGGAGAAGCAGGCTTCCCGCCGAGCAGGGAGCCCGATGCGGGGCTGGGTCCTGAGCCGAAGGCAGACGCTTAACGATTGAGCCACCCAGGCACCCCCAAAAGTTTTTCTAAGGATTAACTATAGATAATATATGTGGAAGTACCTGGCATATAATAACTCCTCAATAAATGTTGGTTGAGCCCAAAGCTTTTTCATTGTTCTTGGTCTGATGGACAGCATCAGAGGCAGAGAGAGTCAGATTGCTTACAATGATATTCCTAGAAAAACATTACTATTTATATAACAACACAACCTGATCCCTGTTCATTATCATTATAGGAAAACAAAAACAGAAACATGCTCAGAGAAATTTACATTTCAACTAATACAGAAACTATATCTTGGTTTGTGGTCTGGTTAAATATGCTTCCTCAACTTTCAGGACACTCAGAGTCCACAGCATAACAAGGCCAAGACTCCCTTTCAGGTTTTAAGAACCAGAACCTGAAATCCCCAGGAGTTAATCATTTGAGTGGATTACTCTAAGGTGGAGTTGCAGGACAGCTATAAGTCTTGACACTGTTCAGCTCAGGTCCTCCAGGATAGGAGCTTATCAACTTGATGTGTCTGTCTGT